GAAATGCGTGGTTGCCAAATTTTATCGGGTTTAGTATAGCTGAAATCAGTTATGGAAAAACTGTTGCCATGGCAACGATCATCATGGTAACGAGTAAACAAAAATCCTATTCCCGTGGTGAGGAAATGCGTAGTTGCCAAGTTGTATCGGAGAAATATTGCTTCATTCATTAATTTCAAAAACACTCTTCAATGTAACTATCCTTCGCGTGCCGAGCTATTCGACAAAATCAAAAAGAAACAGAGCCATTTTGGAATATTCACATTTCCATTTGCCTTCATTTCGATTCACTCATACCTATCTTCACGCGGACATTTTGATTCAGCAATAACAGTCTTCAAACATACACGAACGATGCCTTGCTACCAAATCTGAACGATGTTGAAAAAAAAAAGTTTTTTAAGAAGAAGGTTGATTGAAGTCGAGTCAGGTTATATTGTTTGAAAAAAGTAGTGTCCTTTTTAATGCAGTCTTCAAACACACACGAACGATGCCTTGCTACCAAATCTGATCGATGTTGAAAAATATATTTTTCCTAAGAAGGTTATCATTCAGGCCGAGTTAGGTTAGATTGTTTAAAAAAAGTAGTATCCTTTTTTATGCGCTATTTGTTCCGCAATATTTTGTCGCTCGCTATTTTGTCTAGCTCTGTTCAATAACAAAGCCTATTTTTTCCTGACGTTATTTCCATATATGATTGTCAGAGAAGTAGTTTGGGAATCAATCAACGACGAACAGTCTTCAAGAAATTGATGAGGAGGGTATTCATCCGAATCAAGTTATTGTTTGAATACTAGCAAGAACTTTTGTGAAACAAAATTTGAGGCTCGAAGATTGCGCTGATTTTTCCATTTATTGATTAAGAAATGTCACAAGAGCGTCAGTTCAAAATGTCTTCGTTCGGCGAACTTTCTCTTCCGAGAAATCAGAAAGAGTTATGAATTTGCTCTGAGTCAATGTTTGGTGCCAGCAAAACCATATTGTCCAAATTCAAGTGACACAAATATACGGGAATATGATTTTTGTTGACTCCTTAAATGGCAATAGTTTTTCCATAACTGATTTCAGTCAAGCTAAACCCGATACAACTTGGCAACCACGCATTTCCTCACCACGGGAATCGGGTTTTTCTTTACTCCTTACCATGACGATCGTTGCCATGGCAACAGTTTTTCCATAACTGATTTCAGCTATACTAAGCCCGATACAACTTGGCAACCATGCATTTTCTCACCATGGGATTTTGTTTTCTGTCTACCTGTTACCATGGCAATGGTTGCCATAACAACAAATTTTCCATAACTGATTTCAGCTAAACGAAACTTGAACCTAGAGGAACACCTATTGGGTAGATGTGTGAAAATTATGATATCAAATAACCGATATGGCATTCAAGATTACTTATTCTGTATTCTACAATATTTCGTCATAATCAATTTTACAGTTTTTACCACCATTTTCGATAGGTTCGGATCATTCACAACCAACAGATCAAAATTTGATCCCCTCAGTACAACACAAAATATTGAAATTTGATTCCCAACTTTGCCTATATTCACATTGCTTCGCCAATACGATAATTCACATAGTCGTTTCCAGTCTCGAATTGTAGACATATAATAATTATAGTTTCCTCAACTCTGAAGCTATGGAGATTAGACGACATAGTATCGTATCGTGATCGTCTCCTCGAAGCTCTTATTCTCCTGGTATTGCTTGATGGTTAAGCTCTGCTTGTGCATTAGGCTCCACGATGGGCTCCATTGTCGGCTCCATGGTCTCTGCTTCTTTCATGCTTTTCAGTTGCGGTTCTGGCTCTTGGAAATCTCCAGATGGCGAGCTGATGAACGAACGGTTGGTCAATTAAAGTTGGGTGATTTTGTATCACCAGTCGAAGGCATAAGCTGCTGGGATCACCTTCAACCGTTCTCATGTCACTGGGATTCACTGTTTGTTCTATACTCACGGTTTGTTGGGTATCTTCACTTTGTTGTTTATGAGCTACTTTGGATGATGGAGTTCCTCCACCCCGTCCTTTGCATTGGTTTGCCTGTTCAGGTTCTATACCTTTGCGTATAATTTGGTTCTGATGTGTTTTTCACAATGCATCAGTGTATTACTCTCTGCAACCCAATCCTTCCTATTCACCTCTCAAAAAACTGTCACTATGACATTTTCCCATTTTTCGAAGTTTATGCTTTTGCCAGAGCTGTAATGATTCGCCTGTCTTACTGTTTATTTCTTGATGTTGTGTGACTTGATTGCACTTTCTGAATTCGTTCTTCCTCAGCAAATCTAGTCTAGTAGTCTGATTCTCAGAGTTCTACCTAACACCAATTTGGCTGTAGTGTTATTGGTTGTTTCATGGCAATCCTATAGAATAGTAGGAATCTTGGGAGTTTGAAATTCTTCTTACCGAAAACTGTTAATTCTCGCCTTATACATTTCTACAGCATTTTCGGGTTTTCCATTCGACTGGGGGTGCCCCACTGGGGTCGTTACATGTTTCATCCTATTTCTGTATCGAAAAGTCCCAATTCTGCTGGACACCAGTTGGCTTCTGTTTTCATGTCCCCATCATCTTTGGAATACCGAGTTTAGCAAATGGATTCCTGAATTTCTCTTCTGCTTCTTCTGCAGACATCGTCTCTACTGGATACACTTCTGAAAATTTGCTATAGGCATCTATTAATAACAGGAACATCGTGTTATTTACTTGACCCAAAACAAACTCAGCTTCCGGTGGATCACCTCTTTGACATAAACAGGGTATACATGCCTTGATTATTCCTTTCATTTTTTGATCAATTCCAGGCCAGCATAGATACTTCATGGCTATTGATTCAGTTTTGAGAATTTTTAGATGACCTAGGTAATGCAAATCCTTGAGTATTTGTAACCTTAGGGTCTTTGGTATAATGACACGGTGTCTCCGTAGTGAAATTACATCACTACAGTTGATTCTGTCTTTGTTCCTGAAGTGAGTCTTAATGATTTCAGTCTGTGTTTTCTTCTTGTCCCACCACGCTCGCAGAAATTATTGTGATGGCCTAAGTAAGTGTTTGAGATCGCACGTTGAAAAAAACGACCTTTGTCATCCCTTGCTCTCTTAGAGGGTTGCCCGTATGGAGGCAACCGAATGATGTATAAGAACAATTAGGATCAACATGGTTCTTCTCAGTATCGTCTCTGACTTGTCTCTTATCAATTGGCCAGTTTCTGTTGCTTTTAAAAAAAAATTATGAATTCACCTTCTTAATCCTATTCCTGCTTCATGTCGTTCACCTTTCGAGGAGCTCTACACAAAAAATCAGACTTCCCATTTTTTTTTCCTTTGATATATTCTATTGAGTAGTTGAACCCTGCTTAGTGAACTGCCCATCTTTGCAATCTACTCGCATACATCTGAGATATTCGATTTTATTCTCCAGAGATATGAATGTATGGTTTATTATCAGTTTTGATTCTGATTTTGTTCACATGTATATATTGTTCATATTTTTCTACTCTAATATGATGATAGTTTTCATATTTTGTTTTGCACATTTTAGCTGAATGTCCCCTACTTACAGGTGCTGCAGATGTGATGATTGTAACTTACAGTATACACCATGTGCCTTACCACATGATTCACATGACTCTATTACTCTGCTGATATTTACTTCCCCTATCGCAGTGTTAACATGGTCCATGATGGCTGTTATGGCTGCTAGCTGCAAACTTGTCCTGTTGTTCCATTCCCCTACTGAAGTGTTTACCTGGAACTCTCATTCAATGAAATCGTGACAACTTGTTCAGTTCCCCAATTCGATTCTTTCCGCAGTCCTAGTTTAAAATTTTCGCTTCTTAGGTCTGTTACCAGCTTGTCTTTCAACGTTTCTTCCAGTCTTGCCTCGAATTTGCAGTCCACAGAGAGACTTCAAATCCTTTCATAACCCCATAGAACTTTATACGGTCCCTCCAAACAGATTAATGCACGCTGAACTATTGACCCAGTATTTCGCAGAGACATCTGAATGAGTTATCCTCTGGTTGAGCTGGAAAGCAAACATCTCTTATCTACCAATTTATATGTTGCAGGTCCTAAAAGACTTAAAAATATCGATACTTCCAACTCATTGTCCAATTTTTTTCCCGGAAGTACTGTTTCAAACCTTTTTTGATAAAGTGTCTAATCATAATTCAAGTGGTTGAATTCAGTGTTCCCAACAATTTCTTTGACTACTTACACTCACAATTGCTTCGTTACGAACGTCACGAGATGACACCTTGTCACTTCCAAGTCAAAACTTTCGAATGACAAATGACATCCTATCTCCCACGTGTTCGAATTGAGCAGATACGAAACTATGAAACACGTGATAATGGAATGCCGACTTTTATGATTTCTTTTGAGATTACCGAAATCACTGTACCCTGTCTTTCTGTTTTAGTCCTCGTCACAAATATAACGGATAAACCTACTTAGAGACACACTGTTACCTTTAGATATCACATTTTCACAGTTTGAACTCGACTAACATTATATCTAGTGAGAATGATCGCACTTGCTCAAAAGCTGGGAACCAAGAGAGCTAGTCTACCTCAAATACTCTATATTACTCCCATTGCGCTTGTGCGCTTTGAACAATCTTGTCGTTTCCAGACAAAGAATACCGTGAACTTCGATATCACTCATGAGCCTATCATTGAACGAATGAAGTAAATTATTTTCTTTACTACAGAGTTCGAAACGATGAACAATCTCAGAAGATTTAAGAGCTCACGCTGTGTCATTAATTACCATAGTATTAGATGAAAAAAACATACTCATCACTTAGGCTACTAGGTCGATACGAACTTCTTCAATCGTGTCAAATATATTTTGATAATGGTTTTTGATTTATGTTAGTAGGATTTGAAACAATTGACTATACTCGTATGGATTTAGGATGTGATTGAATGTTTTCCAATTTATACCACTCACATTCGAAATTAGAATTTTTATTATATTGTTACAGGTATGCGATTGTTTCCAAAGGTAAGGAAGCAGTGCATCTGAGTGCTCAAAACCTAATATCTTGCGACGACAAGAGGGAGCAGAGTTGTAGTGGAGGTCATTTAGATAGAGCATGGTCCTTCATTAGAACCTATGGGTAAGTTCTGGAAGAATATTGAATTTATACCTACAGAATTGAACTCCCTACCCATTAGAGCTGGACGATAGCCATGCATGTTCCTGGAACATCAATACCGTCAGGTGGGATGTTTTTGGACGAATATTTCTTGCATTATTCGCTTGAAAATCACGACAAAAAATCCTAGAAAGTGAGGAGAAGTTAAACAAAAAATGTTAGAAATGAATTTCAGACGTTCATATTGTTGTAGTTGGACAAAAATTTTTTTCAGTTGGTTCGTGACAAAATGATTTTATTCAGATAAAAAAATATGAATTGTAGAATGAAGTCCAAATATCATTACGATTTCAGTACGATATAAAAGAGATACTCACAAACGTATCGTGCGTACCTACAAAGGATTGGGAGAGGAGGTAGATGTTTGAATTTTTTTAACTTTTAGAGGATATAAGTTCTTAGGATTACTTGCATTCCCATAGAATTCCAAAGCTTTGGCGATCTATAGACGGACGAGTTATGATAAAGTGTTGTTCGACTCGTTTCAAGGTTGACAACGTGAGAATGTGCTGACTGGGCCTGTCGAGTATGTCTGAGTCGTATTGCTAGTGATAGAATAATAGCAGCGATTTCTGAGGAACAGTTGCCGTGCAAGTTATCTATGGAATAGTGGAAGGTCGCCTAATCTAATAGGATCAGTGTATGCTTGGGTGCTGAACCCCATATTGTGAGAACAGTCATCTAAAACCGGCCGTATATGTGCTTTGAATATCGTGATAAGCTGTTGAGGTGTAATGTAGATTTTTGCACGGAGTAAAAATCCGAATTATTGTGAAGCAGTTTTCGCGATGGATCAGACAGGATATTTTAATGACATAGTATTGCTGATGGCAAAATCGAGCAACGATATAGTGGTCTCGGATGGACATGGTGGTACCATACATTGTTTCATTAGGCATACTGAGTTCTGTTTTTCTAGAGAAAATACATGCTTGAGTTTTGATGGAGATGAATTCAACTGGGTTGTCGGTTCCCCAGGCTGTGACTTCAGCAAGATCGTCATTAACAGCGTTGACTTGCCTTCGTCGTAAGTTCTCAGCTTCCTGGCATATGCCAGGTTTTCACTAGTCGATACCTAACTAGTCCACTATATACAACATAGCCCTCAGGAAGAGTTAACCGCAGACACGTGTTTCGGGCATTAGGCCCTCATCAGTAAGGTGAAAGAAGTGCAAAAGATAGATAACACTTGGTGGACAACGAAACAACAAATCGACGAAGTGAACAAACAAGAAGCCAGTCGCACATTCGTGGTTTCGGTCAGAAGATCCTGCATTCTCAGGGCTACAACTAACGTCACCACGGAGGCAGCTATAGCAACCTGCGTGACATCCGAGTCCAGGAGTAGAAAAAAAATGACAAGAATGTTGAGGAAATTGTTTTAAGCAAACTAGAAAAAGATTATTGGACATAGCCCTCAGAAAGGGTTAACCGTAGACACGTGTTTCGGGCTTTTGGCCCTCATCAGTACGGTGAAAGAAGTGCAAAAGATAGGTAACACTTGGTGGAAGACAAAACAACAAATCGACGAAGTCAACAAACAAGAAGCCAGCCGCACATTCGTGGTTTCGGTCAGAAGACCCTGCATTTTTAGGGCTATAACTAACGTCACCACGGAGGCAGCTATAGCTACCTGCGTGACATCTGAGTCTAGGAGTAAAATTGAAATGGAAGGAATATTGAGGGAATTGTTTTAAGCAAACTAGAAAAAGATTATTGGACATAGCCCTCAGGATGAGTTAACCGTAGACACGTCGTGTTTCGGGCTTTTGGCCTTTATCAGTCTGGAGAAAGAAGTGCAAAAGATAGGTAACACTTGGTGGAAGACAAAACAACAAATCGACGGAGTCAACAAACAAGAAGCCAGCCGCACATTCGTGGTTTCGGTCAGAAGACCCTGCATTTTTAGGGCTACAACTAACGTCACCACGGAGGCAGCTATAGCTACCTGCGTGACATCCGAGTCCAGGAGTAAAATCGAAATGGAAGGGATATTGAGGGAATTGTTTTAAGCAAACTAGAAAAAGATTATTGGACATATCCCTCAGGAAGAGTTAACCGTAGACACGTGTTTCGGGCTTTTGGCCCTCATCAGTACGGTGAAAAAAGTTCAAAAGATAGGTAACCCTTGGTGGAAGACGGAACAACAAATCAAGGGAGTCAACAAACAAGAAGCCAGCCGCACATTTGTGGTTTTGGTCAAAAAACCCTGCATTTTTAGGGCTACTGACGTCCTATATATATAGTGACATACTGTGCAAAATTGCTCACGTGGACACATAAGAGAATAACATTTGTATAATATCACTCAACAGCTACTTATTTATTGTAAATTTGAAATTTTTAAATTTGAGAAAAAAAAAGTTGCAAGTCACATTTCTCACATCCTTCAAATTCTTCGAACTCTTTCAGGTTGGGAATGTCTGTTTCTTCCATTTCACAAAATAGAAGATCTTGTGTATGTCAATAGACAGCTATGTTGATGTGGTTCATACCTATTGTAGTTTTGAGCCAGTTTGTGAAAAAAAAAGAAGAAGAAATTGTTACTATGTCCACAAGTTAAAATGTCCGTTGGAGGTTAAGAATTGGTTGAGAAACGTTAACATTGAGAAATTGTGAATTTCGACAAGGAAGGAACTATTTTAGATATGTGATGTTCTATTGCGTATTATCAATTGAAAGTAGGTAACAATAGAGATTTCACTCAAATTGTTGATATCTGTGCGTTTGTTTATACCATAAGAGACCTGGGATATGTGGGCCATTTCCATAAAAGTTCTTTTAGTTCTGTTTGATTCAGTTGCTAGAATCCTCACAATCACCATAATCCATTTTGTGTGATCCATGCTGTTTACATGTTCTGCCAAAGCACATCTTTCCGGATGCAGTCTACTATCACTTTTGTGAGAGGGGATCCTACCTGCTGAGGAACTTTTGGATTGACCTATATATTGCTTGTCACTACATTCGATCGTGAGAGTGTGGGGACACTGTCTTTAAGTTTTGAGTATATGGTTCTAATAGGTGAGATGGTTCTGTTTGCTATTTTGATATTGGGTGAGTTGTCGAAGATTCTAATCAGTTTGGGTATGATTCCTTTTATATAGAGTAGGGAGGCATAATTACAATTAATTGGAGGGGCATCAGCCACCACAGCACTATTTTATAACAATTCATTGTCTGTATATGTACAATTCCTGCTGCTGAGGTATTGAATAAAATTTGACCAGGGAGCTGGGATATGCATTATGTATGAAGAGATCTTGTAAGATTTTCAAATTTTTATGATGGAAGGAAATATCAGAGATTTGGATAACTCGTTGTTTCATTTGCTATATCAAATTCACCTTCATGCCCTGTTTGTGTTATGAAGCATGATTTGGATAACGTCCAGAGCTGCAGGGCTTTCTATACCAATCTATGAGCACTGTGTTGTCTGGCTGTCTTATGAACAGTGTGTCCAAAAAGGGTACAGCACCTTGGTTGCTCTCAGTAACAAAAAATCATTCATGGAATCGATCACATTTCTATTTGAGAGCACTCATTTCTCATTTGACAACAAATTTCATGAACAAATCTTTGGCACTCCCATGGAAGCCTCAAGTTTCCCAATTCTGGCTGCTTATGTGATGGATAATTTACTTGAAACAGTTATCCCTGTACTATCATTTGAATTACCTTTTATTGAAAAATATGTTGATGACATAATCTCAGCCCATCCACATGATAGTATCGATGAGATTCTGGAAACTTTCAATAGCTGTGATCTCTATATCCACTCAACTATAGAAACTTGAGTTTCCTATACAGCTCTGGACGTTATCTCAATTATGCTTCATACCACAAACAGGGCATGCAGGTAAATTTGTTAAAACAAATGAAACAACGAGTTATCCAAATCTCTGATACTTCCTTTCATCACGAAAGTTTGAAAATCCTACAAGATCTTTTTATACAGAATGGATATCCCAGTTACCTGGTCGAGACAATTATATTATTATTCAATACCTCTGCATCAGGAATCATTCATACTGACAATGAATTGTTACAAAATAGTGTCATGGTGGCTGATGCCCCTCCAATTGATTGTATTAATGCCTCTCTACCATATATAAAAGAAATCACACCCAAACTAACTAGAATCTTCAAAATCGTACCTGATATCAAAATAGCAAACAAAACCATCTTACCTATCAGAACCCCATTTACTCAAAACTGGAAGACAGTGTTCCCACACTGTCACGATCGAATGTAGTCAACTATATTCCATGTCAGGATTATGACAAACAATACATAGGTCAATCAAAAAGGTGCTTAGCAGATAGGATCTCCTCTCACAAAAGTGATAGTAGACTGCACCCGAAAAGATGTGCGTTAGCAGAACATGTGAACAATATGGATGATGGTGCAGTGAGGATTCTAGCGACTGAATCTAACAGAAATAAAAGAACTTTCATGGAAATGACCCACATATCCCAGGTCTCTAATGGTATAAACGAACGCACAGATATCAATCATTTGGGTGAAATTCATTCCTACTCACCAAAATAGTTCTATCCTTGTCGGAATAGAGCAATGTCAGCTGACGTCATAATATGGCGCACTCGTCGTTTTCATCAGCTGATCGGGGGACAAACAAAGCTGTGTGTGAATTTTGATTTTATTATTTCTGGCCCATTGGTGATTTTGTTCAACTTGTAGATATTATACAAGGAGGATGTGTACATTTTCTTCCAAAATGAGTATCTATTGAGGTATATTACGAGGTATATTAGGTATATTCGAGCTGAACTCAAGTAAATCCAGTAATTTAAAATTGACAAATAAACCAATTTGAAGTCTTCTTTGGACTCATTCACTTCTCTCACAGGATTCATGATGAATGAATTAACAAACATGTCAATGAATAAATGCTCCAGGTATTGTATTTTAGTGGTAAATGTGCAAGAAAGTTACATGTA